GATTTGGTGACAGCTTCTCAGCTGGAGGGCGGCCTCGCCTCTTCTTAGCTTTTTCTACATCTTCCTTCACAGGATCTTTGTCCACATTTCTTCGTCTTTTTCTCTTCTTGAGCCGTACTTCCTCTTCCATTTCTTCCAAATTGCCGTCTTCAATGGCCCCATAGTTTGCCTCTAACATAGTTCACGAACAACAGGCCTCCCGGCTTGGACCCTGTCTTGAATTTTTAAGCACACACTACCACATCTTCTAAAACTTGGCAGGCACATGTGTTTCTGTGGGTACTGCAACTACTACTGTTCTCAAAATTCACTTCAAAATCTGTGGAGAAGCAGTCTAGGGACTGCAATTAGAAAGGAAAATGTCACCTTCTATGGCTCATGTCTCACCTGACTTTCCTGTTTGTATCCTAGCCTGCTTATATTTCAAACCAAACACAAAGAAGCAAAAGCAAATGACAGAGCTTTCAAAGTGATGTTTCACTCCCCTGGTTTTCTTTATGTACATTACATTTCTAGGAAGCAAGAAAGAGTCTAATCAAGCAGAGATCATGGGTCAATAATCGTGAAGGTTAAATAAAAAGGCACAGAACACAACCTAATCCAACTACCTGCCCCACTAACAAAGGGCAAGTACAAGCTTCAGAAATTGCACAAGGTTTTAAAAAATGATTCGACAGAGCTGAGTGTGGTAACCCACCCCTGAAATCTCAGCCCAAATTAGAAAGACCTCATCTCAGAAACACCAAATAGAACAAAAGATTCAAGAGCTCAGTGGTACAGCTCTTATCTAGTATGTGTGAAGCCCTAGTTCAATCCTAGCACCACACACACACACACACACACACACACACACACACACACACACAAATTTTCTGTTCAGTTTCACTAAGGGAATCAAAATCAACCTGGAAGAAAACACATACCTGTTGAGAGCTGATATTTATAGGCTGTTTTAAAACAATCCACGTGACACTCTCAAGAAGAGGAGGAACTGTCAGAGAACCAGGATACGTCCAGTATTCCCAGGATGGGGGAAGAAGAGACAATGGGTCAAAATTTGTGAATCGAGTTTGTTTTCCCTGAGGAAGCAAAGAAGATTCCCAGAAATTACAATGGGATAGAATTACAGACAGAAAGTTATAACTAATGAAATTACTTAGTATCTTCTTTCAGTGATGAAAAACACCTGCCTTCATCGAAAAAATACAAATCTATACATCATATAGATTTATTTAAGATACACAAGGTTTGTTTTTATATGGTGTTCTTGAAAATGTGTTACAATTAAAGGTTTATTCTCCATAACCAAAACAGCTGAAGCTAGTTTTTCATAAATAGATTTATTAGTGATTATTTTATATCATGAAATCCTTCACAATTTTTAACAGATAAGTGATAATAAGTTACTTCTGAATTTTTGGCCAAATATGTTACAAACTTGTTTTACAGTATGCAGCATGTGCCACATCCAAGGTTTTAGTCTTCATAGAAAGATAAGTCAGGAAAGAAGAGGGAAGATGTTAGTCATTAGCAAATGGTAACTTATTTCACCTTTTCTTTAATGGAATCCAAAATATCAGTAATCTTTTGCAGCTGGGGATTGTGTTCGCCAATCTAAAGACACGAAATTTTGAAAGAAACAGTTATGACAGCAAATAAAGTCTACAAAATTAATAAAGTTTTCCATTTCAATCAGTATTTTACAATTATTTTCTAAAATCTAAGCCAGGACAGTAGGGTGATTGTTCAGGAACAAAGGTTCTCTTTTACCTAACAGCCTTATCATGCCAGAAGAATTCAAACAGATAGTATTACAGGATTCCTGTACTAAACTTTCAGTTTGATTCCAAAACAGATAGTAGTAGCTTAAAAGTTTTTAAACTTCATGAATGTTCAAGGCTTAAGTCAAATTGAGAGAAACCCTCCTTAGGAAACTAACAAAATACCTATAATATTAAGCAAGAGGTGACATCCAAATTTGGAATTCAAATTAATGGTGGTGGTATTAAAAGTTTGGTGCTATAAAATGTTAGATGAAAACATCTCTTACTTGCAGTCTAAAATGATCTGAAGTCTCAAATCAAGGGAATGTACTCTTACAAGCAAATACATCATAAATATAAAAATATGAATTTTTATATATGTCTTTTCATTATCAAGGGTGTTCTGAATCTACCTAAAGTTTTTATGCTTTTCAGGATTAAACTGTATTCTCTGGCCCCATCTGCCACCACCCTAACTTGGTGGCCAAGAGATAAGGATCTTCCACAGTTTGTGACACTCCCTGCCTCTGTCCCATGCCTCGCCTCCAAGCCCCAGTTCCATAAATTACAACATCACACACAGAAAATGTGGCTTGGCAAAACTGCACACGCTGCAGGAATGTGGTAGCCGTGGGAGGCGAGAGGCCCTGCCTCTCCTCAGGTCTGATGACAATGCTCAGCTGTCCACATGTGACATTAGACAAAGGGAAATAAAACAAACAAATTTCTTATTTAGTCAGTATATGTGAACCAACACCCCACTACGGTCAAACAAGTGCTTCAAGAATTATGAGCTTGAACTTTTCTCCAGACTCTGATCAGGAATCAGAGTGAGTCTAGAATCCACATTTTCTACTCAGAGTCTCAGCTGGTTTTTTTGTTTGTTTGTTTGTTTGTTTGTTGTGGTTTTTTTTTTTTTTTTCAGTACTAGGGATTGAATTCATGACACTGCACATGCCAGGCAAGTGCTTATTCTACTGAACTATCTCCCCAGCCGACAGCTGTTGTTTGTGATGCTATTCTTCTGGTTAAGGATGCTGTTATTGCTAGCCACATAAAAATTATTAATGGAAAATTAGTAGAATCATAAGACAATGCTCCTAAAGTAGTATTTTTAAACATTCAGTTTAAGATAAAAATATTAAACATAGAACTAGTTTACCATTAAAAGCAGTTGAACGTGTACACCATGTCTGAATCTCTTTACCCAACACAGCTTATCATTTAAAATGAGATTGATTCTCACCTGTAAAAATATTCCCAAGACAGCTAGTCCATCAGGCTCATGAGCTGCCTCAACAAAGCTGGGATATTTGTCCGAATTCCAGTGCACAACATGGAGCTGAAAGGGAGGTACATAACATAGTTCAAATATTTTATAAACATTCTGAACAACATAAATGCAAATAAAACACTGAGGCACATGCACTGATACTATGCATTCCTATGTATAATGTATTCCTCGTGAAATTCTTGGGAAGAATCCTACTTACTCCTATCCAAAAACTAAAGATTGGGACTGGAGAGATAGCTCAGTAGTCTAAGTGCTTGCATGACAAGTGTAAGGACTTGGGTTCAATCCCCAGTACTGCATGCTGTGTCAGCCCTGTGCCAAGCCAGCCACTAAAACCAGGCATGGTGGTGCATAACTGTAATCCCAGTGCTGGGGAGACTGAGATAGGAGGATCACTATGAGTCTGAGCTGGGTAGTGAGAACCTGTACCAAATCAATAAATAAGATTAAAAAACAACAACTAAAGATCAAGCAGTGAAGCAGCCAGTTAGTGAAGTATTATCTTATGGACGACTTAGCATGCTCTGAGCACTCTGCTCCATTTCTCTAGGCCAAGCAAAGGGAGCCTCTGTGTTCTCCACTGATGGGATGCTGTAAAGCAGCTTAGATCAGATCTCAGATGCGGGCAGAATCCGCTGAAGAAACCCAAGCTCCTACAGAGTAGGTTTTCAGGGACAGTCTTGCTGCCAAGGACTGTGTGCTTGTTCCTGAAAATACCCAGTGAGATGTTTATTGCAGTAACTTAGTGCTTCTCATGGCTTGAGCATGCAAGTTCTCCTTAGAAAAAACTATATTAATACTCGAGTTATTATTAGATGTTAATGACTAATGATAACTTTGTACACACATAAGACACAATGTGGTGTTTTCACGCAGATACACAACACAGAACAATCAAATCAAGCTAACTGACGTATCCACCATGTTATTTTCCTTGTTTATTTACTTACTGCCTTCTACAAATATGTTCAGATTGTTTGCAAAGAGTAAGTTGCAGTAGTGAAAAAGAGGCTGGCGTCCAGGAACCAGTGGAGTCTGACGGGATGAAGAGGAGCAGCTGGGGTACTGGTAGGCAGAGGGTGAAGGTGCAGAAGAGAAACAGCGGCACCCTAAGGGACCTGGAACTCCGAGAAACAGGCTTCATTTGACAGCGCTACTCTCACGCAAGCAGCCCAGTGCAAGGCCCAGAAGGGACCTAAACACTGAGCAGCACGGGCAATGCAGCATCATAAACACGCAGAGACTACAGAGAAACAATAAAGCAGAAACTGCTTTGGAGATTCTTCAGTCTTATCTTAGACAAGAGAACAAAACTGAGAAAGAAGCCAAAGGGCGGTGTGACACACCTAAAAGGCCTAGCTCTGCTCATAAACGCTGAAGGCCAGCCCATGCTATCCAAGGACTCAATGCAGTACTGCCTTCAGATAAGGATGTCTGATGAACCATTTTGGCACATCAGGAAGGGAACACTTGTATGGGCCTTGATGCCCAAAGTGGCCTTCTCGGTGACCATGAGAGAGAAAATGTTGTATATTCAAATTCGTATTTTTATCCCCCTTTTTAAAATATAACTTTGTACCTTGTAGGTAATTAATATAAAGGGATTCTAGATAGATGAGAATTGTCATAAGCAGCAACAATTAAATAATAAAATATTGCACAATCAAGGCAGTGTGAGATAACCAGGGGAGGAAAGAAACCTGCAAACACAAGACGGAGGATGAAACAAGTCCACGCAGCTCACATGAGGCAGGTGACAGTCCACCGCCAGGGAGGGGCTGAGAAGGTCATGAAATTTGTTTTAAGTGGCTCGATGCCAATAAATCAGCTCACTTAGCGAGTGATACCAAAGAGTCACACTAACAACTGATTAGAAAATTCACACTGAGTAAAGAGAGATCTCTATCTCCTATATATCACCATTCTTCTCTTGGCTACAACAAAGTGACTGTTTGAAGTATGGTGGCAAATTCCAGCAAAAAAGGAAAAATCTTAATAAACCACAGTGGCAATGATAACAGCAGCAAAAGCCCACCTCTCTCCCTTGCTTAACCAGCAGCAATACCTTCACAGAACTCAGCATTTGTATTTTAATTAAAGTTCAAACAAATAGCAAACTCATACTCCCTAGCTAATAGTGACAGCAGCAATGATTCTGAGGTGGAAGATTCCGCAAACAAAATAGGATTAGAGTTCCCAGTCAACCCAGATATTGGGTATTTTTCTAGAAGAACTGAAATCATCATACCACAGTGATATATGTGCACCCTTGATACAACTAAATCTTGGAAACAACCCAAATGCCCATCAACTGAAGAATGGATAAAAAGCATGTGGTATTTTTATAGAATGGAGTATAACTCAGCTATGAAAAAGATAAACTTGAGGCTTTTATAAGTAAAAGGATATAACTAGAGACCATCCTCATAAGTGAAATAGGGCTGGGGAGATAGGTCAGCTGCATAATGCCTGCCTGGCAAGCATGAGGTCATGAGTTTGATTCCTGGTACCAAAAAAAAAAAAAAAAAAAAAAAAAAAAAAGTGGGAATAAATCAGACTCTGCTGTGTAAACATCATATTGTCTTGGTCATGTAAGAACCTGAAAGAGTAAATAAAATCTGAAAGGTACAATAGATACTGATTGGGAAAGAAACTGTTGAGAGGAACAACTGGAATGAGGGGGAAAAAAGAAATAAAGAAAGAGAGGGAGGGAGGGAGGGAGGAAGAAAGGACATTTGCCCCCCCCCCCAACAGCCTCTTCTCCATATGGAAGTGTCCTAGTTATTTTTTATTCATTGTTGGAACAAATAATCTGACACTCAAAATGAAGGAAGGAAAGGTTTATTTTAGTTCACAGTTTGTAGAGGCTTTGATCTATACTCGGCTGGCTCCCAGGCAGAGTGGCACACAGCAGAGAGCAGCAGTTCATGGCAGCAGAGAACAGTGAAGAGCAAAGGGAAGGGCAGCAGCAGCTGCAGCTTCTAGCAAGATTTTTTTCTCCTCCTTATGATATAGGAATCTGAAATTCCCAACCTGGCCTGGATGAGTTCATGTTCTCTAAAACCGAAGAATGAATTTTAGGAACTAACAGAGGTTGAGGGTAAAACTTTATTGGAAAGGAAAGCTTCTGTTGGAGAGGGACAGAAGGGGGGCCCAAGCGGGTTGCCCAGGAAGCTGTCTCTTTCAGGTTATTTTTATAGGACAAAACCATGCTGGGTTGAGGTAGAGATAAAGGGGTCTTGCTTAGGCAGACACAGGGTGGGACAAAACTATGGTCAATCAATGGGATTACAAGCACCACTGCTCAGGTAAAATTGATTAGGCCTAGGACCAAGTAGGGTAGTAAGTCACATAGCAAGGGGGCATGAATGTAAATCGGGACCTTATCTGGTGACCTTCAGTCGATGATTCTTCCCAACTAATGAGCAATCCTGGATGCCAACTTTAGGGAGGTCAGCATTTGTTTGATCTTTAGGTCTGGCTCACACCAGGAGCATCTCCCCAGTAAGGTGTCTGGGCTTTGTCATCTCCTTGAGGGGCTGACCCTGTCTAACTACCTATATCTAACTCAGGCTGCCTATAACACTTACATTGTAAACAAAGTACCCTGGGGCTAGGGGTGTAGAACTCACACCGTGTCCATGCCCTCCTCTTGCACAGGATGAGGATGTTTGCAAACCAAGAATCTTGGCTCCCTGCTGAGTCACTTAATTACACTTTTAAGCTTCTCAAGTTGACACAGTGTATCAACTACTACAGGCAGCTAGTTTTGTCTTATAAAACATAAAGCAAAGCAGGTAACAGCCCACCTCAGAAGGTTCCACTGTCTTCTCCCAATTGCATGAACAAACTCCAAACTGCGCACCACGCCCAACAACATTGATGTGATCTGGCTCTGCCTGCCCCTCTAAGACACATTTCTAACTTTGCCTCTTTCATTAATGTCCACCCTACTGGCCAGTGTTTTTCTCTTTTTGAGCATGCCAACCTCACTCCTGTCTTAGAGTGCATGTCTTACTGGCCCCACATCCTGGGAGCTCTCTCTGTATTTCTTCCCATGCTTCCTTGTCTTAGTCTCAACTCACTTACTACTCCCCAGAGGTTTTCCTAAATCCTCAGTCAGTCCACCAGAACACACGGTATTATTTTCATCAAAGAATTTACCATGCACCACATACTTATGTCTGTCTATTGTCTACCTCTGCCACCCACTAACCCAGTTTTCCTCCTTCTCTATCCACAATTCCTATCCCAACCCAAAACATGGGCTCCCCCTCCCTCACCCTTAAACCCAATCAACCAACAAATCACACTGGAGCTGCTGCTTCTAGCCTTCTAGCCTTCACCTGCACCATCACCAACTAGTTGTAACTTACCCTAAAGCCCTTCCCTTAGCCAGTCCTGCTTCAATCCAAGAAAGAGCTAGAGTTTGAATGACGTACTTTTGAAATTCAATGATCAATTGTTCTCAGATCACTGTCCTCAGAATGAAATCAGTAATTCTTACAACGGCTTGCTCGGTGAGCTCAGATGCACCCCACCCTCTCCAGCTCTAACTTCTCTTGCTTTCCCGCTCCATGTTCTAGCCACATAGGCTGTTGTGTTCTTCAAGTATTCTCTACTCCTCCACCCCTTGTTCTCAAAAATGATGCTCTGCAGGTCCAGTGCCATTTCTCGCCTTGCCCAGCTCTCGCCTGTCCGTGCGTCACATTTTGGACTGCAAGCCCTCTTCCATGGGGAAGCATTCTCTGGCCCAGGTCTGGATTAGGCTCCATGGTTAGGAGGTTCGTGGGCTCCTTCCTTTCCTGCACTGCCTTCAGGATAAGCACAAACAAGCTGTGCAGAGATCAGGAACATGGCTGGTTCTACAAGAGTCCTCCAGTGAATGAAGAAATGAATATATGAGCCATTAATATAAGAAAGTGCCTTAAGGACATACTAACAGTATGAAATTCCAGCCTGAGTTTTATCTGTAAAACTTTACTTACAGTGGTGGTCTCTGATCTGCAGTTCAGGATTTTGAACATCTCCAAAACTTCAGGATGCTAGGCTTTTTTTAGAAAATTACTTGTCAACTGGCAGTAAATCTCTCTAATGGTATGTTTTCAAGTTTATGAACATATGAAGTATAACCATAAAACAATGTGATCACCTGCCTGGGAAGCACAAGACCTGAGTTCAATTCCTGGCACAAAAGG